GAGTAACTTTTCTACCAGAAATCTTGCTCCGATTTTCATGTATAGTGCCTCTTTTGAAAGTAAATTTTATTTCCTAATTATTTTCATAGTAATTGAGGAAAATCAGGAAAAAAGGGAAAATTTACAAAATGTATTATTTGAGACTCAAAATTTGGACAAAAAACTTAAATTTATATTTTCTCGGCAATATTTTTAAAAATATTTTAACCATTCATAGACATTTTAATTTTGTGAGCTTTTTACGTAAATTGTATTTGGTAGGTATTATCTGTGGTTGAAATTGTTAGACCAAACACAAATGCTTCAAAATTTACCAGGAGGATCATCGTCAATAATAATTTGGGCCATAAAAAAAATTAAGTTTAGTAAAAAAAAATTTTTTTTATAAGAATTTTTATTTCAAATTTTGACAAAAATTGGAAATATTACGGCCTTTAAAAATATGTTTATCCGATCTCTGCTCAGATTCATTTTTCATTAGCAATGCTTATTCGTTGTGCTTAGGTATACATTAATGTCCCCTCTATTTTTTATCTCCTGAACTTCTTACCTACAACAGTGGCACACCAATCGTGCGAAGTATATCCGTGTTTTTTTTTTAATAGTTTTAACAATTTTACTGTTGATATTTTAGACTTTCGCCGTTTATACTTGTTGATTTTGACATTACTTTTCGTCAGTTACTTGTTGGTAAATTCCCATCGTCGATACAATCGATACATTCGACACGCGCTATCGACTGCCATTCAAGTTTGTACACCTATGTATGGGTAACAATATTAGTTATATCTTTATTTCCGTTTTCATTTTAAAATTGCAGTCAATTATAATTTTATATTATTCTGTAGGATATTGACGGTGACAAAGGCGATAAAGGTAATCGACGGGCCATGGATAAGCAATTAATTGTAGTTATTACCATTTGAGAATTGTGACAACGTTTTCTATAACTGTTATCAAATAATACATTAATTTTTTTTATCACACAATGGGCTGTAAAGTTTAAATGATAATTTTCAGTTATATTTTGGACAATTAATGTGTGGCTTTTTACTGTTATTTTTCCCGAAAAATTGAGAATATATCAGCCTCTACTACATCAGTTATATTATTGTATATTAATTATAAGATTCGGTTAGTGAAAAAATCATGGGGGGAGGGAAAAATTCGAGAGACGGAGCTATATTGTTCACGGGTATCATTATTTTTCTCTATCGTTCTCCATTGAAATAAAATTCTGTGCTTTATAAATACATATAATTTATAGGGATATAAGTGCTATCATTATGTTATATTCATGAAAATAGTTATAAACTATAGATAGTTTTTTGTTGATTTTCAATTCCTCCATGGCTCTCTCACTTTGGGAAAATATCGTATTCCAGATTTCTCTTACTTTTTAATCTATATGATACATTTCTAAATACACTAATGATATTATTGTCTCAAAATAATGATATTTTCTTTAAACTAACTATGTTCCTTCTTTACTTATACGAATGAAGTATATCAGATTACTATAGGTACATAAGTTGACTACAACGTTATAACTAAAACTATAATATGCACCATAGTAAGTAAATATGATACGAACACCAATTATGTGTTATACCTTCACGAATATGAAAACACATAAAAACGTGTGTACTATTTTAGTTCAATGCCTGCTTATGTAAACATTTATTTCATGAATAATTTTTTCAGATAAGCATATAAACATAATTTTTGCATCCATATATATTATTTGAGTTATTTGTTAAATACATATTGTATATTTGTTTTATAAGATTGCGAGTGGGGGATTTATACTAAAGTGAAAAACAAAAGTGTCTAAAGACGTGGGGCAATTTTGTTTTCTGTTTTGGCCGCATTTAAATACGATTGAATAAACGTACCCACACTGAGTCATTTATAGTTACAATAAATAATAGAAAAATAAAAACGTCAATAAATGCTGATCCAACGCGTGCGTTCTTAAGAGAGAATCGAGTAAATCCCCGGTAATAGTGCTTGGCCTTTGGACGTACGAAGGAGGCTTTATTTTACTTAATTTTTTTTCTTCTCGTTGACATATTATGTACAACATTCTAAAGAAAATTCTACTCCCCGTTAACTCGGGTTTATGACCTGTTTTATGTTTTATTATAAATGCAATTATGTTGACCGTAGATCGGCCCACGGAACGTTTTAAACGAAAAATCAGATTAATATTATCATCATTATTTCTATCGGTAGATCTCTTGCAAAAGCCGATTCATTCGTTATACCACTATTTAATTATTCGCTTAAATAAAATATGATACGAGAAATCGAATGAAAAACACAAACATACATTATAGTCTTTTAGAGCTTTGCGCATTCTATTTTACCAAAGACATATTCGGACTGTTGAAGACAAATTAAGAACAGAACTATTGTAATTAACAAAGAAACCAGACCGAACTGATTTTATTTTTTAATTAAAAAAAACCGAGACTCGTTCGTTATTAAATAAATAAATATTTACATATATATGTATACAGGGTGTCACACAAAGATATACCCATTGTAATTTGTAATATCTCCGAAGACAATAAAGATAATCAAATTCTATTTATTTTTTTTTTATTATTATTACTCACAGGGATAAGGACTACAAATATTGTATTTCAATTAATTTTTTATGTCTTGGTAAAATATTTAAAAAAATAACTTTATATTTTTTATTTTTATTAAAAAATTCGAAGACAGCCATATTATAAAATTAATTATTTTAAAAATGTTGATATATTAAATTTGAATTTGCATTAAATTCGTGGTTTTTAATCATTTTTAAAAGTCCAGAGAAAGGAAGCGCACAGTCAATTAATCGCAATAATAGGTAATAATAATCTATTATATAATGCGATTATAGCCTGCTGCATAATTATAAGTACTTTTTTCTGAACTTAAAAAAATTATTAAAAATTACGAATTTAATGAAAATAAAATGTTAGCGCATCAAAATTTTCAGAAAATAAAATATTTAAAATGGCTATCTTCAAATTTTACAAAAATAATAAAAACAAAATTAATTACAATATAAATATTTGTAGTACTTATCCTTGTGAATAATATAAAAAAATAAAAAAATAAAAAAATAAAAAAAACACAATTAGATTATCTTTATTATCTTCTCATGGGATACCTGTATTATATATATAAATAAATGTTAGTAAATATTTTTAAACAAACTAAAAAAAACAAAAATTGTATACTTTTTTTGTTATAATTATAATACAAATGTCAACAAATAACGAATCTGATTAGTAACTAAATAACTAAGGCAGAAAAATCTAAAGAGAGAAAGAGAGAGAAAGATAGAGAGTGGAGAGCGACACGCGCATGTGATAGACATCTTTGATAAAAGCATTCTTGTGAAATGACATGACACTAAATAATTAAAATAGAGCGCGGCATGCAAGAAAAGGGGTAGAAACGGTTTTAACATGATTCGTAATCACGGTTAAGTAGACGCACAATTAATTAGGTAAGCTATTTGTTACGATATCACAGTCAGTCGTGTAAGTTTACGCTCGTGAATATCATAATATAATGTAATACAATTAAATTTTTGTGGCCCGTGATGTGGTTCGTTATTATTTCATTTAGTTATCGTGTAAACTAGGTATAGTCAATAAACGTGTAGTTATATTTAGTTTTCGGTGATCGTTTCAAAAAAACTCAATGTAACGTACTTTTCCACTTAGGATTGAATTATTCGAGGCGAAGTAGTAACCATTAAATCTCATCGCCAATATGCTTAATTAACTCAATCTGGAGTACATACAGTTTTGCATAATACTCAATTATAAGCACGGTAATAGATAGAATGGTCACATAACGATTCCTTACAAAGTGTACACAAAGGGCAAAGGTTCTTATCAAGAATATGAAAAACACACTGCCTTAGGCACAATTGTGGTGCGATAGTGTTTAAATTATTACTATGGTACAATTATATTTACATATCATAATCAACTAGCCACTCTTAAGGTGCGTATACACGAGGGCATTAGGAAAGTGAACACGGAAGGGTATTCGTGTTTACCCGACGTTTCGTTTGGTTGTTTGGATATACACATGGAAGTCACACAGCAAATACGGTATTCCAGAACACAAATAAGCCTACACAGGTGAACGCGAACGGATGTCAGTGCAAATTATGTTTGTGTTCCCATGTGTATGCACTTAAATGTTACATGTGGAGTGATTTTAAATTATTTGATAAGAACCTTTACGCTAGTAACTCGCAAACATTTAAAAAAAATTGGTTTTGTGATAATAATTATTAAACGTCATGATAACTTTGTAAATTCGTGTATGATAATATTATTTTTTTTTTTTAAAAAAAATCGGTACGCCTTTGTTTAAGCAGATCGATTTTTAAATAATTTGATGTTGTCAGATATTTAAACAGATTACAATATCTGTTTACAATATTCGTATAGAAATTGAAAAACGTAAAAATCATTGATATTTTTGTATTACTTAAATATTTTAATTAATAGGTAACACCTAATCTCGTGCACTTCGCCAAGTCTCCCGTAAACATCATCGACTTTGTGGCCACATTGAGCTTCTACACGGATACGATGCTCCAGAGCACGCTTGCCCACCATTTCGATAACACCGAAATATTAGAATTTTTCTCGATCATCCGCATCCTGAGGCTCTTTAAACTAACCAGACACTCACCCGGACTTAAGATACTTATCCATACATTTAAGGCGTCCGCTAAGGAGCTGACACTGCTCGTGTTCTTCTTGGTCCTAGGTATCGTTGTGTTCGCGAGTCTGGTCTATTATGCCGAACGGTTACAAGTTAGTTAAATCGTTAATATGTTTATTAACTACACGAGGTTTTCATGTGAACCTATACAAATACCTAATTTAATATTTTAATGTCATCAGGCGAACCCGCAAAACGACTTCAAAAGTATTCCGGAGGGTCTATGGTGGGCGATCGTTACCATGACCACGGTTGGGTATGGAGATATGGCACCGAAGACTTACATGGGCATGTTCGTTGGAGCGCTGTGCGCCTTGGCCGGTGTACTCACTATTGCGCTTCCCGTTCCTGTCATCGTGTCTAATTTTTCGATGTTTTACTCGCACACACAGGTCTGATGATACCAAAAATATTTATGACTAGATATATAAACCGTATCAACCCGAGTGATTGGCACGCGAAATAGATAAATTAATTTTGTAACTGCTGATTTTTAATGTACTGTATTATTATTAACATAGGTATTATGAAATAGGGTATAAATAATCATTTTTTTTTTCTTTAATGAAAAATAACAAAAAACCAAGAATTTTTTCTGTGAGGAAATTATTTTCGCTTTTTGATTAAACCGTCGGATGCCAATCGGATATCGATAGACGTTTTTGAAGATTACATACTATTACTATTACAATAGCGTTTTTCTTCGTACTTTTTGAAATATGAGAATATTATTTATTTATATTTTTTTAAGAATATAAGACGCTACACGTCTGTATCTTCAAAATAATTAAAAAAGCCTTACATCGTTAAAACGGTTGACAGCCGTTTATTAACGCGATCCAAAAAAATAATAATAATGATACGTTTCAGTAAATAACGAATTAGTTTTAGTGTTGATTGATAAAAAATAAAATTCATTAATTTATTATAATATTATACGATCGGTTTTAGGCTCGTTCTAAGTTACCTAAAAAAAGAAGAAGAGTACTACCCGTCGAGCAGCCTCGACCGAAAAGATGTGACGCCGTCTGTGCTGGTGTCATGGGAGCTGCTGGGTTAATAGGTAATCGTAGGATAGCCGCAAATTCCAATCCTGCAGCTATGCTCAAAGACACATTTGGAGCTCCCAAATTAGGTAAGTCGCATTGCAGTTTATTTATTATCTTATTGCATATTATCGGTATTTATCACACTAAAGTCACAGCCCCCTTGAATTATGTTGCTCCTGTTGTACTTTTACCTCTGCCAATATAATATTACTGTATTCCATAATATTAAATTTTTTTTATAATTTTCAACTAAATAATACATATAATAGTGAATAAAGACATCTACATTAGGTTATTGATCGACTTAACTTAGAATATACTTCTATCCATACAAATACAATAAGAATAAATTTATTTCAATGGCAGAGTTACCGTGTTCTGTATCGAATTATAATAATTTATGAAAAATATAATGTATTACCTTTAACCAGTTTTAGTGAAAATAATAGTCCTTGAAATTTATACAATAATAATAACACGTTATGAGAAGGATCTAAACAATAATAGAAATTTACTGGTAAAAATACTGTATCGTTTTCTGAATACGCATTGTCGTCGGTCGGTTGGATGGGCGTGACATGAGCCCATTATTTGAATCGTATATTTTACACGATACACGGTGCGGTTGAAATAAGGGGAGGCATCGGGGTACACGTCCTTAACGAGGCCTGCAAATACAAACGGAAACCTAAGTATAATTTGGCAAAGGGGACTTAAATTAGAGACCATCCTCGACCCAGTCTCGTTATTTTCTGGACAAAACGGTATTTGTATGCATTGCGTTCGGTGTAAAAGACTGGTGGGTTAAATTAATATATGGAATGCATATACCGTGTCCGCCCAAATCGTTACTTGAACCCGAGTCCTAAATTAATTAATTAATTTCACGTTTTTCCGAAGCGGTTAATTACGAGTGTCACATCCGAAAACAGAAGTGGTAAATATAATCTTATTTAAGGTAAAACCTTACTCATCGATTTCCTACGTGCCACTCTGAACAAATATTTCTGCGTGTGGCTTCAAAATTATATAAATACATATCTTTTTACGACTAATTTAAAATTTTTTTTTATTTTACTATGTTTTCTGCTTATATTTAAAATGACAGATTCCTGAGTGCCATGGATTTTTTACCGAATTCGGTGTAATCGATATAATTTATCAGTTTTCTCATTATATTATGTATGTATGAATATATTATATACATACATGTATATATTTAAAAAACCTAATAATTTCAATAAATTACATTTTTTTTATACATCAACTAGACTAAAAATGACACCGAAAACCCTTTTCTTTTCTTTTTCTAATGACAAATATTACAGGTCATAACCGTGTTGACAGTCAAATACAGAAAACTAATAAACTCCTTGCTCGCCAATCATATTCTAACAGTAAACGTATTTTGACTCAATCATTCTTCGTTATTTTTACTGAATACAGGCACTCGAATTACCGAAAAATAAACCCGACCGGACAGGTGCGTATGAACGAATTGTTTTGGCACTAGGTTTGTGGGAGACTTGAATTATTAGGTATATAAAAATGCGTAACATTAGGTCAGTGAATCGTGTCATAGGACAGTTTGGGACGACTCGACAATGATTGACATCGTTTGCCAATAGTAACAGTATTTTGATATATAACAATATTATAAGCTCTTAAATCGATGAGTGAATTTTAGTAATAATCTGTAGAAAATATATATTATATTTCCCTAATGCAGGCTCAATGTTAATGTTCAATGAATTTTTTTACCGTCACGATTCAAAAAAATTATTTTTGATCGTCTTAAATTGTCCATACTTCTTTTAGATTCTGTGTTAAGTTAGGGAAGTGTGGTGAAAAAATGATTAATTTTAACTAATATTTGTTTTTTCTTGAAAAATTCTTTTTGGGTCAATAAAAATTCTTTCAAAAATTTATCGCATCATACCTTAAAAAATGCGGATTTTTTTCTAGTGAATCTTTGTCATATTATAGATGGACCCTTGACATTTTATTTTTATAAATTTTAAATAAAACTGGCAAAAAATGTTGATACATCGGAAAATACTACTAATACTACTCGGTTCAAAATCGTTTTTTGATTATAATGAAATACAATTGCTTTCAGTACATAATATACCTTTTAAATGTCAAATGTTCCCCTTTCTACAGGTCTATGCTATCCATGATACCCATAATACGTTCGGTCTTAGTTTATCCAATCTTATTACTTGTTTATAACTATATTAGTACGCCCTGTTCATTCGGTCAGAAGTAAAAAAAAAAAAAAAAAAATCGTTAATCGATTTCTGAGCATGCGGTATCCAAACGCATACCTAATACATTTCTTCGTCTTCTTCGTCTTCTTTGTCCAGTCAGTCGAATCAATTTCCCGCGATTCTATCGAAAATACCATTGCAATAGACGGGTCGAAATTCGTTTAATAATATCCTTACACCATCAGAAATGGTGCGATATACTCGTATGTTTTACTTTTATCCGGCTGCGTGCCCGTGATGTAACGCGTGCATTTACAATTTAACGAAAACTTATACTACGCACACAAATTGTATTCCCGCCGATACACATAATATACCGACACGCGTGTTCGTTTTATCCCGACTAGTTTTCCAATTTTCTGGCGACGTGATTCCTTTCTTTATTATTATTATTTTTTTTTTGTTTTTACTTTGTCGTCGTCCCGCCCACAAACCGTCTTCGGTTCCCAACGATATTAGTATGCCGTCGAGAGTTTTCCGAATATGCCGGCGACGAAATGCATTTTATTATATTCTATTACACAATATATAAAGTTCCCGAGTCCAATTTCGTATTCATATCAGTATATTATAATTTATAATATAAACTATACTTGCAAGCAAGTTTTTAAACGCGATCTTTATTGTTATTTATATATTATAATTTTTTATTCAATCGAAAAGTTTATTCCGACCAAATTCATTCAGTGACTTCTCAACAAGAATATATAATATTATCGGATATACAAATAATGCAGAGATGTTCTTTTGCAGATTATATTAGCGTCGGACTTATTTATATGTATTAATATTTATATTTATTTTTCATCCGACTACGTGATTAATAATCATCATATAAAGTTTATTTGGATTTATTTATTTTTTGTTTGTTTCAATGGCATAAGTATAAATATTAATCATGTTACACTATCAATGCAAGAGAGTCATAAATCGATAATTTTTATTTTTAAGATTTTGGTGTTTGAATTTGTACTTTTTTTTATATATATAGTGTCGTGATCTATACTATTATCGAACTTAATTGTCAACCAATGAAATAAACTTATTGTACCAAAACAGATAGATATGCAGTGGCGTACAAATAGGGGAGGGGTGAGGTTTCCGGGATAAATCCTCCCCAAGAATAAAAAAAAAATATCTCATTTTGAAATGGTTAGATTGAAAAATATATGCCATGAAAATGTAATATAATGTAATATTAATATAAAATAATTTAGTATTTGTCAATTATGATGGAATCAAAAAAAAATTGATTTTTCCTCTAAGAAGGTACACAAAATATAGACATTTGTTATTTACATGAAAACTTTTTTTGTGTAGATATTAAAATATTGTTTATCATTATTAGTAAATTTTCTCTGTTTCGACCCGTGGATTTGTTTGTGTATGTGTCTATTTTTGTAGTGACATGCGCATACGGGGAACAGGCGTAATCGAAATAATATTTTAATTTATAATTTAATTTCTTATCTTTTGTTTGTGAAATCATATCGTTTTGTCCAAATACCGATGATCATTGTCGTGATCCGTGCTCGTAGTATAGGCAATATTTCAACAGTTTTCTAAAAGGTAAGTTTCATTTAAAGGTAGTTTTAATTGTATTAAATAACTTTTTAATTATAATTTATTGTAAATGTATTTATGTTAAATCGATTCTTCTATATTTTTTTTCTGCGAACCTGCCTATTACTTTTTCATTGAGAAAAACGAATTTATATTTATATGAATAAAAATCAATGTCTGTCTATATTTTTTAGACTTAAAAAATACTGGACCGATTAAACGGGGAAATACATTTTTATTTTATTTTTTTTATTCAATACTGAGATGGGCGACGACAGGTGGGATATATCTACAGATTTTATAAAACAAAACTGGCTACGGGTGAAGCCGGGGTATACTAGTGTAGTGAATTGAACACATTGACTCTTATTGAAGAATTTTTCAATTTGTCCCAACATCTGATATGACAGGAAATGGAATTAGCCAATTTAATACTAGAAAGTCTTCGACACTTTGGAATTGATACAAAACATTTACGTGGAA